TCTGCGCTGCACCGCCGCTTCCTCAAATGCACTCACTTTTTGGTACATCCGCCTCTGCTAATATCTCCAGCGGTCTCAGCCATTATTGGCAGAAGGCACGGGTCATGTCGCCCAGGTCTAAGTACTATGAGGTAGCAAGGCAACCAAGGAAAGGAGAAGTCTGAAAGAGACGATGGGCATGGATCAGTGGCTGTACAGAAAGTGCCGCTCTTTCCATGTTGCTCCGGCCGGGGGCTCAAAATAAACCTGCTTAGCTCGGGCTGCCTTGCTTTCCCCCATATTTATGGCGGGCCTTTTGCCCCCCTTACTGCTCACTGTGTGGTGAGCCTTATTTGATTTGTTAATACCACACGGGTTCGGTCTTGCCCTGACTTAGGTTTTTTAAGGTGCATTGCCAGTAGCATTCGCTCCACTCTTCAGTCTGGTCCCATCATCCCAAGTTGCCCCCTGTCCTCGATGACGGCACTCGGCAGGGCAGGAACAGACAGGTCAGGGAGGAGTCCCGTGAGCACCGGGGCCAGGTGGATTGGGAGGTAGGTATGGCTAGGTGGCTAGGTGCCTCCTCCCCAGATTCCAACTCGGAGGTACGAGGCTGGGCCGTTGTCATGGAGTTTCATTGCCAATATCATCGAGACTCATCAGGTACGGACTACGACTGCTATGTTGTGGGAGGTGGGAGTACCTAGGGCCCTAGGCGACTAAGCCAACTTATCAGGGAAGGATTTCAGCATGCCTAAGGAAGGCAACAGTCTCCCCCCCCCCCCTTCTAAGGTCAGGTACGTGAGTACGGAGTGCTTTCTAGGTTAGGTAGGTACGCATACCTTCGGGACCTTCCACAGCTTCAGCTGTGCCTGCCGTGCTCCTGTCATCCCATCCCGTTAGAACTTAAAAGGCTTTCCAATTTGTCTCATACGCGCGCGTATCTTGTCTCTTTTTTCGAGGTTCCGCGGGACGGGGAACACTCTTCTTACTCCAAGGCACTTACGGAGTACGTGTGTCGCCGTTGTACTCCGTAACTATCCGTACATTCCCCCTCCACTGATTGTCGTTGGGTGATCTATTGTCTTCCTGAGCCAAGATTGAAAACCCAACGTCCACGACCACAAGACCACCCAAGCCACCTTTCATCGTGCTACCCACATCATCGTGCCCTTCTTTTCTCCCGAATGAGACTGACGACAATCCCTCCAAGCCTTGTCTTCAGCATCTCTGAAAAGAACCACTCCAAACAAGGATTCCTCCGGCTTACGCTTCCTGCGCACCCCGCGGGGAGATACTCCGTACTCGAGAAAAGTTGGAACCGGGTCACAAGCCAATACGAGCAAGCGCAACGCCAGACAAGGGAGCCGCACGGGTGTACCAAAATACGAACTCCTGACCAGGCGCTGCTGCGGGCGAAACATTAATGCCCAGCCAGATTTTCCGCGCCTAAACGCTCTTGGTGGCTTGCGCATCATTCTCGCTGACCAGGCACCGCACCGCACCTCACTCCCCTCAACATCTTCCTTTTCTCCCCCCTTACCGTTCCTTGCTGAGGGAAGGCCAATTTCGACCCTTTGCAATCCCCCCATGTCTAATCGCAATCAGGGTTTCAAGACAAACATCTCTATAACGCTGGCATCTCACCTCGACATCGTCATATCGTTAATTCCCCGGCTTTCCGTTGCTCGCGAGCAAACGTGACACCCGTGCCTGCGACTGCCCCACGAACTTCCCTTAGTACGTACAACCACCGCCAAACTCGCCGCGACACTACTTCTACTAGGCGGAGGCGACTAGCTTGCGTCGTCCGCCTGCCGGCTTCCCAATCCGAGTTACTGGGCGACCTGGTGCACTGAGGTTAGTGTTTCTTTCTCTGCTTCCCATCAGCATCGTCTGTTCTCCATGTACCTCTTCAATTTGGTCCGGTCTCTTGCCGGTCTCATCTCTACAGTCGCTGTGCTGGAATGATTGAGCGAGACATTCACACATACCCATTTCAGTGAGAACCGCACTTACAATTAAACAGTCGTTGTTCCGAGACATTTTGAAATTGCACCCGCATTCCTGCGACCGCCGCACGCATTAGCCGGTCATCGTTTCAAGTCGATTTCCCTCTACCCAGCGTCCCTCGATTTCTCCGCTTCCCTCATCCACCTCATTCGAACAGGACCTCTTGGCTGTTGGTCAGTCAACCATTCAACCCACGAGGGTTGCTAGACGTTTTCTCGAGAACATACATCCTGCCCGGAACATGCCGCGATACAACTTCGAAGACGGCCGCGATGCCGAGCGAGAACCTCTAGATCAGGCTTATCGGTCTCACACTCCCAATCCCCCAGAGTACTACCAGGATAACCAGTACCACCATGGTGCGCCTCATGATCACCGTCACGAATATCCGCACTCCGACCCCATTCACGATCCGAACTTTGGTCGCGTGAGAGCCGAACGGAGGAACGATCGCCAGGGACCACCACCAGCTGCCGTCGGTGCGGCTACAGCATACGGAGGTCATCAAGCCGTATCCCCCATCGACAACTTACCGCAAGTTCCGGTGCACCGCGACTGGGGCCCGGATCGTTATGCGGCTCCACAACACAGCAATCCGAATCCGAATATCACACCTGGCGCGGACAACTTTAGCGACACGGCATCAGGAGGTATGGCTGGTATTGCTTATACCGTCGCCGAACGTAACGCCAGGGAGAGCGGGATTGATGCCACGAGAAGTGCTGGCCAGATCCCGCGAGGACAGTTTCAGCAGCCCAACGCACCACCGCAAGCTTACAGTCAATCGGGAGGCGATGTATACGAAATGAGCAATGCCGTCCCGCGTCCTTATCAAGGTAGCTACCAGGGCAGTCTCCCGGATCGAGACTCACACTCCAGCCTGACGGCTCTCGGCGGAGCTGGCGCTTCCCCGGCCAGGCTATCTCCATCCGCGAGCCCATACGGCTACAACGACTATTACAACGAAAACCCATACTATCAAAGACACCCTCAGAACCTTGGTGTGGTGGATCCTAACTCGATTGCGGACGATGGTGATGATGGTCTAGACTACGGCAAGCCCAAAAGTGGACGAAACTCGATGCTTAGTCTTTCCAACAGCGATCGAACAGGCAAGACAAAAGCAGCTGGCGCAGCCGGTGCGGGTAGTGCGGCTGCTGCGGGAGGTGCTGCGGCAGGATTGATGGCGAACCGAAATGTCAGCGGCTACTACGACCCCAAGGGAACGGCCGAGTACCAAAACGGCAGCGCCATTGACCTCAGCTCACCAGAGAAGAAATCAGAGTGGATGGCGCAGCAGAATAAGGGACGCAGAAAGTGGAAGTTTTGCATCATTCTAGGAGTCATCCTCCTCATTGCTGGTGCCATTGCTGGTGGCATTGCAGGTGGATTGCTTTCGAGAAACAACCGTGACGGCAATAGCTCAGGAAATGGACAATCAGCAGATGACGACAAGAACTCTAACGGTGACCTCGACGCCGACAGTGCTGAGATCAAAGCGCTTATGAACAACAAGGAACTGCATAAGGTGTTCCCCGGAATGGACTATACGCCTCTCAATTCCCAGTACCCCGATTGTTATCACAACCCTCCTTCACAGAACAACATCACTCGTGATCTTGCTGTTCTCAGTCAACTGACCAACACTGTCCGCTTGTACGGCACAGACTGCAACCAGACGCAGATGCTCATCCACTCAATTGAGCAACTCAAACTGGAGGGCACAGTGAAAATCTGGTTGGGTGTATGGCAGGATGGCAACAAGACGACCAACGCGAGACAACTCTCCCAGATGTGGGATATTCTGAATCAGTACGGAGACAAGCATTTTGAGGGTCTCATCGTCGCCAACGAGATTCTGTTCCGAAAGCAGATGACTGAGTCGGAACTGGGATCTCTACTCCAGGAGGTACGAACCAACTTGACCAGCAAGGGACTAAGCCTGCCTGTGGCAACTTCGGACTTGGGTGACGACTGGACGGCATCTTTGGCGTCAAAGAGTGACTACATCATGGCCAACATCCATCCGTTCTTCTCTGGAACCAATGCCAAAGACGCAGCTATGTGGACTTACGCATTTTGGGAGAACCAAGCCGGTGGATTCTTCAAGTCGGACAAGAAGAAGAACGTTATTGCCGAGATTGGTTGGCCGACCAAGGGTGGCACTAGCTGCGGTGACGGCACTGCTACGGGCTGCCCCAATGCCTCAGTTGCTGGCATCGACGAGCTGAACGAGCTGTTGGACAAGTGGGTATGCCCCGCTTTGACCAATGGTACCAACTACTTTTGGTTCTCGGCATTTGATGAGCCATGGAAGATCATGTACAACGAAAAAGACAAAAATTGGGAAGACCAATGGGGTCTGATGGACGTCAACCGCAAGGTCAAGTCTGGCGTCATTATCCCGGACTGCGGCGGCAAGACGGTCTGAGACATTGATGCCAGATGACTGTTAATGGATTTTATGTATGGATGGACGAAGGATGATAGTCAAGCCCTGTGCCTGCTACTTGGCGATGCGCAGCACTGTACATGATGGAGTTACTCTGGAGTTTTAGGGGCCAAAGCACGCCCGGCTTGAAAGCTGCCGGCATAGTGGTATGATGTTTTATACCGTATATCGCGTCGGTGGTGATTCGAATGGGGGATCTCACGGTGTATTTAGTATTTGATCGACCAGGAGGAATAGATTACTTAAGATGCGTCGTGTGTCTGCGATATGATGCGACTTGTGCTATTGTGCTGGGACGTTTCCCCCAAATTGGTAAGCGCATCAAATCAATGATTTCGACGCTCGGGCAACTTGTATCGTATGTAAGGAAGCCCCGATTCGGTACTTGAATCTATGTAACGTCGTCTGATGCAGTGGTTGGGCTCTCAGCCTGCGTACCTCTAATGCGTCTAGGATGGGTAAATGAGGACAACACGGGACAGGGCGGGGATGTGCGGGGTGGGGCCTGATCAATAAGGTATGATTTCTTCCGACGTCTCCGGCTGGGCTAGGGATCGCTCCACGTTGCTTCATTCACAGCACTTGACCTTTTTAAATTTCCTTCATCTTATCACAACTTGGCTCTGGTGCGGTTGCTTTCACCCACAGCTTGCAGCAAATCATACGGTTTTCACATTCCCTCAGGCCTCGCGCTCTCACACAGCGCGCGCGTTCACATGAGGATCGTAACGAGGATTCGGGCGCCGCACCCGTTTCTCTTGTTATTTCTGGCCAGCAGCAGCGTCGTAGAAGGAATAATGGAGTGGAAGAATATCACAAGGCCGATGCCTAACGTCCCACTAGCCCCAGTGCCGCTTCCCGGGCCTGGCGCGGCGCGGGATGGCGCGGAGATCGTGAGGCAGTTGACAGGGCTGTCTCGGTCGAGTATGAGTGGTGGCCGGGCTGCGAAATTGAAGCTTGTCAAGGTCATTGAGCTCGAGGGGGAGTTATGGGAGCCAGAGGGAATTGTAAGGCTTTCGAGTGGCGATGTAGGGGGGGATGAAAGAGAACGGGAACAAATGGAGGTTGATGAGGAGGAGGAGGAGGATGATGGGGAGAGGTTTTGGGTTTCGGCAGGGGAGTATACCGTCCCGACGGAGAAGTATCCTGACGACAAATGGATTGATGGGACTGATCGGAGCGCCGGCGCGGGGTTTGCGCATTTTGTGGTGTTTGATGGGCGCGGGAGACGTGTTGGGGACTGGGTTGCTTCCAAGGAAGGGGAGTTGGAGGTAAATCTCGACTCGAACATTCTTTTACCCCTTTTTTCCTTTCTCTAGGGGCCTATGTCACTTTTCAGCCCTCTTGAATTTGGACTTTTGAGGCGTCAAAGAGATGGCTAACGAAGGAAATAGTATCACAACGGCGGGATAGATTTTGACGGGCGACACGTCTGGGCTACGCTCGCGCAGTACCGGCCGAATTCGACGGCGTCGGTGGTGAGGGTTGATCCGGTCAGCATGGAGATGAAGAGGGTCTTTAAGGTGGCGGATCACCAGGGTGGGATCGTGCATGATGTCCACACTGGGACGTTGATAACCTTGGGATGGGGTGGGAGGATTGCGAGGATTTGGGATATTAGCAAGGCCCAGATGATCTGGGAGCGCGAAACTACTGGCGATGGGATCAGGAAGGGGGAACAGGCTCTGCTTCGCAAACGGGGTGGAGTTGATTACGATGGGGAATTCGACGAACCTCAGACGACAATCGTGAATCCTTCGCACTGGATAGATTACCAAGACTGCAAATCTCTCGGTACCGTCGACGGGAGACATCTTATGCTCTGCTCCGGTATCGCGATGCTGGCGCCGGGGGTGGAAGTAGGTGGGCTGGCGATTGTTGACGTGGAAGGGATGCTTCCCTTGTGGGAGGTGCCGTTTATGGAGAGGACAGGGGCTGTGCCGTGGACGGGGGAGAAAGACCACGTAGAATGGAGCATTGGGAGGAAGAGCCTGTTGATGACAAAGAACCCGATGGATGTTGCTGTTATCGGGGGAAGAGTGAGGTTATATTTTGCGCCTGAGGAGGGCAGGAGTAGAATTTTTATCTATGAGGTCTGTGAGGGGTGATTCGCGGGGGCGGTGTGCGTGTGCTTGTTGGTGTGGTTTTCACCTTATCGAGACTTTTGAGAGTTGCTTTTGATGGCGAATGAAAGCCGTCGAAATATGCATATGCATCCCTGTACGTGTCTGACTGACAGCCATGACGAGGGACACTTCTATTTTCCCTGGTACCTTAGGCTTCATAGAAGTCCTTATCAGTGGTGCCTTGTGCTGCTCCATTGGTGCGCATCGTAAGCCATAGGCGAGATAGACGTCGTTTTCGCACTGAAGCTTGCTGGCCACACTAAACATGTAAGCATTTTAGGAACATATTCATCGTGTTCGTGGATGGTTGCCTGAGTGACTGTCGGAATAGAGATGGGACAGGGTGCCCCTACGTTCTGAGTTTTGGGGAATTATGGTCTCAAATTTGTGAAGCCTGGATGGTTCGTTTTGCTGGACGAAGACAATGTCGTTTGAGGCCGTCAATGGCTCCGCTCCTTTCTTGGCTGTGAGAGAGACGGACGATTCGGGAAAGTTTGAGATGAGGGCAAGGATGGCTATCACATTCACCAGTGCGTCATTCCGTGTGTTATGAATGAAGTCTCACCAAAGGCCCTGCTGCTTTCTTGATTTAGTGAGACCAGAGCATGACCAAAGCTATCAAGGGCGGATAATGTAGGCACATAGAACGAGGAACAGGACGATATTTTGGGAATCGACATGTGCGTAAACATTTCGATCATATCTAGTAGTACATTTGTTGAATGACGCTCAGTAATGTTACCATCGTGTCTGCACTATTCGGGTTGCCATGATCATCCCATTTGTAGTATGCAAAATTGATTAACTCGGGGCTCAAGGGGTCACTGGACGTGAAAGCTTAGGCGTGTAATTGCGCTCTGGACCACAAAGGACTCGCGCAGAAGTTGAAGCATACAGGACGAGAGATACAGTAGGCTACCTAGGCAAATCTCCAAAGTCTTGGATGATCAGGTCGTAACAAAACCCACTTGATTGAAGAGCAGGGGGCAACGGAGTCAACTTTTACATAATGGAAGGTTCGTGTTTGGCAAAATGCTAATACTTGAACTGGAGACTAGATCTGCTTTCTCGTATGAACGTCTCGCGAGAGTCCTCGGTATCTGACACGCAAAATTATCAACGGGACAAGAATCACTCAGCGCAAATGGCATCGACATCTTATCCGAACCATACAGTCCTATTCAGTCAGTAACGGCTCGGGCCGTCAGGCGAGTTTATACCAGCATTCACTCAATTTGAAATGTCTGCTTCGGGCATTCCCCAAGAACAAGAAAATTGATGGCGGCACTCACATTTGATGAATACTAGCTGCGGCACAATGAGCGCCCAAGGCAGCTGGAATTAGGCTGGATCATTTGTGGATCTTCAGAATGCCTGGATCTGACCGCCATCACTTGACCAGCCTTTTGATGATGTGGTCAGGTTGGATAACGGCGCCCAGTACAGGTGGGGGGGCCCGAGAAACAAAATTTATGTGATGTGTCATGTTGTACACGGCAACACTTGGAGAGGCTTAACAGTAGGTAGTCCAACACTCGGCAGATGCTGCCGCGCCGGGATAATGGCTGGAATGTGTGAACCGTGGTGCACTTAGTTGAGCTTAGTTATTTCAGGTTGACTATGTTGATGTGCGTCATAGCATGTCCCGAGCTCCAGTTGCGCATGCAAGATCTAAGGGAGGGATAAACGCGGCATACCAATTGAGCCCATTGACGCCTTCCGGATACGATCCTGAGAGGCCTTAACTTCACCGTCCCGTGTCTCTTCCCTTGGACCAGCGCTACCGTTTACGATTCGGCCCGTCTGCAAAGCGCCTCGATGCCTCAAAATAGCTAACTTTTCCTTTTATTACCCAAACACTACTCGTGCTACTTGAGAATACAGCACGAAATGGGGTACATTTCAGGAGGACGAGATACAGAAAGCTGCAATTCTGGGAATGTAGAAGCGTTTCCCTTGGGCAAGAAGTAGCAGCAGAATCAATAACAAAAGTAACAAAAGTGTGCGGGAGTCTCGATTCGGATTGACGGCTATAGAAGGCGAGGGGGGTGTGAGTAAATGACCATCCCCGCTAGCCCACTCCCACGACACTGTTCAAAGGGATAACACAGTTTTTTGAAAAAGGTATCAACAAGTGTCACTCCAACAATAAATTCGTTCCAGGGGATCACCGCGGGCAAGCGCATTTCACCAATCAGGCGCGACGAATTTGTCAACAAGGTCATAGGAAGGAACTTAAGCTAATGCAAAAAGTCAATGGGGGATATGCAGAGCTGCATGCCTAAATCTGAGCCACATTCGTTCCACGGACTGTGCCGAGGTCTACCATCGACTCGTCCATGACGATCCTTTGATACTACACTATTAGAACCTGCGTGAATCAAGCTGGTGTCTGCAAGCTTATTGCTACCTACACTGCTTGCTTGTGAACGAGATTTTCAGTTCGCCCAAGAGTGATTTGGGCAGCTTAACGTACAGCTAACCCAAATTGGTATAGCACACCCAATTTGATGTCATAACAAGGGTACAATGTCAGTAGCGGTGCCGACGGAAGTGCTTTGTCTTGCGCGCTGGTCTGAACACTATCTCCCTTTCAGACAAGACTATCTGAGCAAATGCTGATATCGGGCAGTCACTGCGTGCGTGGCGGACACGAATTGCATGTCGGTAGTTTAGCATTTTACACGACCAGGTCCTTTTGTCGTGCCCTCCCGATCCCCAGAAATGTTTTAGCGGACTGCCTATCCGGGGAAAGTGGAACTCAAAAACTCCAAAGTGTGGAGTGACTACGATTTAGCACCGTTGACGACGCTATGCTGGTCGACCGATACACTACACTCGGGATCGAATTGTTCCGCATGGCCGTTTCCATCTCGCTACTACCTCTGGACATCCCTGGGGAAAAGCCGTCGAAGCACCGTTGTGGATTTTCTTTTAGAACTATGTCATCATCCTGAGATATGTCTGTTGAATGTGCTCAGACGGATGTCATTCACATAAAGGCTGCTATAAAAGTCAGCGTCTTCTCGTCATTTTCAACCTCCATCATCACCCAGAGCTTCTCCAGCCACTACACTTCCTTCATTTAGAACTTATACTCAAGTGTTACTCAGTCGAAATGAGATATCATTATACCATGCTAGCCTCGCTTGCCGCCTCAGGGGCTGCGTTCCCGTCCATGGCAACGAAGAGAGACCTGGAGAATTTGAGTAAGCGCAATCCAGAACCCGAAGCCCATCCCGAGCCACAAATACTCGGCGGAATCGTCGGCTCACTCGCCAACACCATCACTGGACTTCTCGGAGCCGTGGCACAAGGGGCATTAAACCCTGCAAACAAGCGGCCGGAACCGGGCTACGACTTCATCGCACCCGGCCCCAATGATAGCAGAGGGCCCTGCCCGGGCTTGAATCTGCTTGCGAATCACGGCTACCTGCCTCGTGATGGTCACGTCAACCTGGGCCAAGTAATTGAAGCCACTGCTCGCGGGTTCAACATGGGCCCCGACCTTTCGACCATTCTCGGTGTTTTTGCCGTCCTCACTGACGGAGATATCGCAACCGAGTCTTTCTATTTAGGATCTGGCCCAGGGAATGTTGGCGGTCTGAACAGGCACTCAACAGTCGAGGTAAGAGTGATAAGAGTCAAACTACGTCTCGCGAAACAGGTCTAATTTCCGTCTTAGGCCGACATCTCACCTAACCGTGAAGATTTCTACAACGGATGTGGTGATGCTCACCATGTCTCGTCCCGTTTGTTCAAGCAGAACGTTGATATCGTTGCAAAAAGTGGAACGAAGCAGTTCGATCTGACAAATATGGGGACACAATACCAACAACTGTCCATTTTCTCTCAAAAGAACAACCCTTACCTCTACTACTTTCCTTTCCCTTTGATCGTCTCTGTCGGCGCATTTGCCTTCTATCCCAATGTGAGCTATTCCCTTCTCTTCGATTCTAGTAGCTACTGACATCTGGCGTCGAAGTTCTTCAGCAACGGCACCTACGGACTCGGAGGCGTTGCTAATTATGAGTCCATTTCATCCATCATCGGAGCAAAGTACGACACCGCGACGGGGGAATTCCAGTACGTACCCGAAACATGGCCCGCCAAATGGTACCGCCGTGCAACGCCATACACTGCAGTTCAAACCGTATTGGAGGGCCTCCTCATCTACCTCCGCAACCCTGTTACTCCGGCTGTTGCGCAGCTTGGCACAGAAAATCTTAATGCCACGACTCTGCTGTGTGATGTTTACCAGGGCATTAATTCAATGGTGCCGCTCTTTGTCTCCGGGACTACGGAGGAGGTGGCCGCCGCGACGACATGGGCTATTTCGAAGCTTGACCCCTACTTTTCCAACACCGTTCTTGGCTGCCCGACCAGTGTTCTCTCTCCAAACGAACCTAGCCTCCTGTTTCCCAATGCCAACCAGCAGGGCGGTCCGCTCAATCCTCCTCCCAGTGTGGCCAAACACATTGGCAACAATGTCTACTACAAGACGTACTTCACTTCAGCGCCGGTGACACCGGCATGCTGAAGTATTCAAGGCAGAGCGCACGGGAAAGCAGCATGTCCATCATGTTGACTTTATGTTTTTGGAATATATCCCTTCTGAAAATTTCTACTTATCAAATTACACGGGAGGCGACTAGAATGTCTTGTAATTCGTTACTTTCCCTCGTGAAAGTACATATGTATTCACATATGTACGACATGAACTCTTCCTCAACAAGTGATTGTGTGAAGAAGCTTTTTAGTACAGCTTATCCTCAAATGTTAGACTCGCAGCTATCCTTTCTATACCTACAGCAAGAATTATAACCCTTGCAGCTGCATGAAGTCTTCATTCCCAAGCTTTTCAAGGTTATTCTCTTAGTTTCTGTTTGTCATGATCGCGAAGACATGGATGGAGTTCCATGCAGGAAAGACTCAGCTTATCCTGGTGGCTAGGAAGGGTATACGCCAACAAAGCTGGATTCTAATTAGATACCGTTGACATGAGGTATTCACGCCCAGTTACAGCCTGGTGGCGTCGCCAGACTCCGTACCAAATTATTGAGCGTTGAGCATATTATCGAGGCGTTAAATATGGCTAAACACTGCATGAGGCTCTTGGTTGCCAAGAAAGATTTCCACCTGACCGGTCGGGAGTTAACCATGCTTTCCGACATATAAACATGAGACAAATTATAAGCAGAGAAGAGCAATGGTGTAACATATTTGCCGAAGGGCGACGTAGAACAATGGAGGCCCAATTGCGATACATAACAAAGCTCCGGTCAACTTTGTTAGACGCCTAGGATGAAGACGCCGACGGTCGAACGGCTGGAGCCCCAGAAAAGATGGCGGCTAATGCCTTCCGAGTCAAATCGACGTTTGGTACGGGAATATGGAAATGTACATGTCGGGGCACCTTGTTGCCGGCGTGAATAAATGGACAAATTAAGCAAATTGTGCAGCTTGCGCTTCTTTCCAAACAGTAATAACGGGGTTAAAGTCGCATCGGACAAACTCTTGAAATTATCAATGCAATAACGTGAATGCTCGGGGTCCTCTGCCATCCCGTTCCCCAATTGGTGACCTGACTCCGGACAATCGGTGGGCTAAGTTTCCGTCTGCATCCGCCCATACCCAGCCACACTCCTAGCCGGGTTCGCTTCGATTGGTTGGTGGTCAGGACCAACATCCAAGTGAGACACCAAGCATGGCTCACAATGATTCATCCGCGCTAGCAGGGATCCTTGCGTCAAAGGATGACTAGCGCTGACAGAGATCGCGGAATTGAGTACGGAGTGCATCATAGGTCCGTGCCTTCTCTCGATGCCCCTCCTTAACCTCCCAAGCGCGTCAAAAACACTGTCTTAACTAGGTCAGTGACGATTAATATGTCGTTGTCGCGAATTGTAGAGGGACACTGTATCATCTACCTAGTGGATGGTATGTGAGTAAGTATCACGGAGAGTCGTATCGAGTTATTCGTGATAGAATACTCGTCTATTGCACACTCGTATGATCATCGTCTACTTTTCTTACACAACTAAGCGCCGTGAAATAAGTCCGACCGTGACTAGGCTGACGTTGCCAATTCAGTGTATGGACACGAGATGAGGCATACTGAATCACACATGCACCACCGACGCTACGATCGAGCATGATAGGTTGTAACCTAGGGATTGTCCAAGGGTGCAGTAGGCGATGCGACATTTCAAGCAGCTTCATGGGACACGGTCCAATTGATCAAGAGTTTCTATTGCACGAAAAGATCCAATCTACGCGACACGCCAGTTCACGCACCATAGGCCCAGCACAACAAGAGGTGTAAGCCGGTGACCCATTACTGTTTACTTAATTTCCTTGCACATAACACTCTTGAGCGCCTCAGTCTCTGCCTCCTGACGGGCGAGGCGGATTCGCAAATCGTCCCTCTCCCGGATCACCTCCTTCAGCAATGTTTCAAGTTCGTCGATGCGATCAACCTTCTTCTGTCTGTACTTGCGAGCCGCAATAGTGTTTCGCTGACGACGAAGGATCTTGTCGGCGTGGGGAATGGCGATCTCCGGGTCTTGCCTAGTGTAATTGGGCGAGGACTGGTGAGATGGCCCAGCCCCGGAAGCAGCAGCATGTACTGACATATCCAGGGGCGGAAGTTGGTTTGGGCTGTTGGAGTTGGAGTTGGCACTGGAGCTGGATTCGAGGAGGGGATCAAGCTGTACGGGGAGAAAGGTCTCGGAGATTGTGTCGAAAAAAAAGGCGGGGGGTGAGGAGTCGATGAAGGCAAGTGGGAAAGCTGACAACACATAATCAGTACAGTGAATTTGACTCAACGGGTGTAGAGATGGGAAAATAATGAGTCGTCTGTCTTACACTGATCAGTCGGGATGCCGAGGGGACTGGCACTGACGGGAGGCGTCACATAAGCAGCGGACGTCAAGTGCAAAGTGTCCCAAGGTGGCGATTCAGAGTACTGAAGGCTAGGATCTATGTGGACAGAATCTGAACCACAAAGCCCAAAGTCTGTATCCGGGAGGCCAGCGGCCAACAAATGAAGTGACTGTTGTTGGTGTTGATGCTGAAGGCCATTTGTTAAAGCGACCTCGCCGAGAAGACTTGAGTTATCCTGGGCCCATTGCGGCAGTAGGTTGGGCTGGCTGGAACCAAACGATCTCCCGCTGGATCGCGGCCGCCGCGGCTGATGATGATGCGGCGCACATTGTTGCAGAGTGTAAAGGCCCCGTTACCTAGGGCCAGAGGATGACAACGTTAGGTTGGGATGAGGAGGCTTTCGTCTTGCGAAAATGAGATGTCATGGAGCAGAAGCAAAGTGCAGGCTGGACGGTGGGAACCTGGGATTTATAAATGCAACAACACGCTAGAAACCCCTGCAGACGCAATGGGATTGAGGAAGACGCCCGCTTTCTGGCAGGTTTACGACGGCTGCAGACGCGGGCTGCCCAACTGACAACACTAACCTTAACAGCGGCAAAACTTAGCCGACCCGCAACACGCCAGATGGAGATGTGGCGCAGCAGGCTAGCAGCGGGCAACTCAATGGGGGCTGGTCGATCTGCTGATCGAAAGGCCTGGTACGGATAAATTACGCAACTATCCGATCTGCACAAAAAGGTGGCTCGGACAACTTAGTGTATGCACCAAGACAAGGTGATCGGACAATCCAGGATCAACTTTTCCGCCCCGTGATCATTGTTCGAATGGGCCCTAGTGCGACCTCAGATCAAGGAGGGCTGATGAGTTCATCTACTACCGTTGATGACAAACGTCCCTGTTGCAGTCCACCGAGTTTCCTTGGGAGATTGAAGACGTCACGTCACGCTTTATCCTATTGAAAACACCCCGTTCGTGATTCACAATCGAGCGGAGTAGATGGTCTATCACCCTGCAGGTAGATCGCGACCGTACCCCAACGATCTATTTCCCTACTACAGACGAAAGCTGGGAACGCTGCAGGACCGCCAACACGGGATCGTTTTGGATTCTTTTCACCGGACCCCTTGCCAAGTCCCCTTTTCATCGGTCGCGTGCAGCTGCATGGGTTGAGCCTGAGCCCGAACCTACGGTCAACGGAGCCCATCGGCCGGCCTCTGCCTCTGCCACTCCCGTCTCTCATTTGAGCTACCCTCAGACAATCGTACACCACAAACGGATAATGGATCCCACTCTCCTTGCACCTGCGGCGTCGGCACCGTACTCGTTGTCGCCGCCAGGGGCTCCTCCCAGCCAGGCGGGATCTCTGGAAAGCGACAATGGCAGGTCCTCAATGGCCCACCGCCCTCGCCATACGCGCACTAGCACACCCAAAGTGAGGACAGGATGTGTCACCTGTGAGTCTTCATCCAACTATGAGGGAACTGAATAAATGACTGGACACTGCTTACTCCGTGCAGGCAAGTAAGTCAAGCTAGGCTTATGAATCCGATAGCTAGTGTAGAGTACTAATTGCTCCTCTAGAAAACGGCACATTAAGTGTGATGAGGCCAAGCCTCATTGCATGAACTGCCTCAAGACCCGCGGTGTCTGCGATGGCTATGCTATCAAACCACGGAAGACAAGAAGGAAGGCTCCGAGGGACTTGGAACCCTCGAACCCCGAAACATCGTGTCGCCGGGCCAGTCCGCGCCTGCGCATCCGGGAACCCAATGTTAACACCCTTGATTTTACCGATGATATGCAAAGCGTCTACTTCAACGACTGGAACGAACTGGTTCGCGTCTCGCTCGGTGGCGCTCACTTTTCTAGGACCAACCTTTGGACAACCACGATGCCTCAGCTCACCCGCCGGAACCCAGCTCTGCGACAAGCGGCTATGAGTATCGGGGCGATTAGCAGGGCACTGTCTTCGCAGGGTTCCCCTTATGTTATTGCCAGGAATTTTGGCAACATCGCCAACCTCCTGCAGAGTCCGCATTATCAGAATGCCATCGTCTACTACTGCAAGGCACTTCGTCTGCAGGGGCAGGCCGACTTCCAGACTGCTAGCATCCAAGACGCGGTACTCCTGTCCATACTCTTCGTCGCATTTGAAGCCTTGCGGGGGAACCGACACTCGGCTCTCCAACATGTCAAGTTTGGTTTCGTATTGTTGCAAGAGCTGCTTACTAGCGAAGACTCGGATCATCGCATCTGGAACCTCGCGCCTGATCCAAGGCAACTCGTTACCGAAATTCTGGATCTATATAACCATCTAGATGTACAAAGCCGCACCGTTCTCAGTGGTCATGTGAAATCCAGCCGGTCACCAGCATACGAACTCATCAGAGGTCTCAAGGCCCGAGGACATACCATTGAGACGTACAACATGCAGATACAACGCTATACCGACCCAGGGGAAGGAAGAAAAGCAATGCCCGAGGTGTTCAGCGACGCAGAAGACGCATACTATTGGTGGCAAACCTGCCAGCGACGAATCGCCAAGCTTGGTCCTCTGCTACTAACTGTCATTGATGACCTCAAAGTCGAGGAGATCAATGATGAGGCCGGCATCGACCAACTACTCGAGATGATGCAAAATCAGCCAGAACTGTTAGCGTACTGCGAAAAGTCGGTCGCAAATCTCCAGCAATGGCGACACGCTTTCGAGCCGCTCTACAACAAGACGTTATCTGACGCGAAGATCCCACGAAAGAAGTATCTCAAGATCCTGCATCTTCGTATGCACTACCTAGTCATGTTTCTGTACAGCTTCTTTCCCAAATATGCTGACGAAGCCACCATCGCTTCCATGACACCATACTGTCGAGAGATCAACGACGTCATTGAAATCCTGCTTAGCGAGCAGCAAAAAGACTTCAAGACTCCCGCACACGTCTTCTCTATGGAGTTCGGCCTCGCGTGGCAGCTCACTGTCGTCGCTATGACGTGCCGCGATCCCTTAGTCAGGGATAACTCAACCCGCATTCTCCAAATGTACCCACGGAAAGAAGGGCTCTGGGACAGCAAGGCTTTCTTGGCGGTGTTGAAGAAGAACCGCGAGCTAGAGGCAGAGAATGCCAGGGAGGGAACACTGGCGGAACAATGGAGGCGGCTATGTCGAAGGGAGTTCATCTTTGAAGATGCTGGAGAGACGATTATCTTCCGGTCGTTAAAGAAGAAGGAAGAAACCGGTGAGTGGGACCTAGTTGAAGAGATCACTAAGTTTAAAGGAGAAGTCAATGGTTTAGAGTGGGAGGTCAGACCAGTAAGCGGCCAGGGATTGATTATGACCGGCTTAAGTTAGTTAATTTACCTTACATTACTAATGTTACGACCCAACATGCATAACCAAGACCAGGACCTAACATACTGGCAGCAATTGATTGTAGTATTGTTGTTGTTGTTGTTCTATTTAACGCCATGGCGGCAAGGGCGCAGCCGCCCTTGCGGCAGACCTCCCGAAGGGTATGTGGCGTGAAGGGTCGCAGGCTCTAGCTATATACTATATAGTACACGCCGTATCCTGACGTCCTCCAAATCTTGCTCGTGAGCTACTATGTGTTCTATCCAGCCCTAGTTCCCACTGGTGCCCTAGTTCCGTTATAACCATCTGGTTTCTTAATAGAGGTAGTTTGTCGTTTGGAGGATAGGTTATGACCTATCTCCTAGTACCGCGGGCAGATCTTCTGGAAGAAGTCTGTCACACAGAGGAAGGCCTGGAAGCCTTCAGAGTCAGTGATTAGCCCCTTAATTGATTGTAGTAGAATCCGTTGAAAAGACCATAGAAAAGAAAGTAGAGACTATAAAATACAGCGCTTCACTTAACGCAACTTCAACAATCAAAATGTTACGGCCAGCTAGTCGTAGGGGTAGTTTGCAGAAGTTGAGGCTGCGGAACTGGTAACAGTAATCGTAGTCGGGGATAGCTTCAGGGAAGCTATGTCTGTCAATCGTAAGATAAGGTAAGGCTTCGGTGATCAATCGTAGTCTTGTCAAGGTGATAGCTGAAAGCGGATGTTAATCCTGATACGAAGTTAATTGCTGAAGAGCTATGGAAAGTCTGTCCTAGAGCCCAGCTCGGGTCCATCCTTATATACAAGTCCCGTGTACTATCTGAACAGTTCCTTTGTGGTTGGGACCGACATCGTGTTGTCGGTCCTACAGGGGTGGACCGCCTTTATCCTGTCGGTCCATATCATGGACCGCTTATCGTCTGTCGGTCCTTTCTTATCGTGACTTGTCCATAGTTCTTCCGTTCCGTTGGGGTGACTCCTGTGTCTGCACATATGGCGTGTCGTAGCCGCCGTAAGCCTGCGGGGCAGGCCCTGGTCTTGGTCATGCATGTTGGGTCGTAACAAGTTGGTTGCCTTAACCTGCTCGTAACACTCGTCTACGACACTCGCTTACTAAGTACTAATATTATTCTTATATTATAATAAAAATAAACATAATCCTAGGGATATTAGAATCTTCCTTAAATAAGTTATAGATAAGAGTTTACTTCCTATATCTAGTATTAGAGATATCTAACGCTCAATAACCTCTAGGACGGAAGATAATCAAATTTCGAGGTATCTTACTGTTTCTAGTCTGAGTGAGGTATTTTTAAAGTAATGTTAAGTCCCTTCTTAAATTTTCTAGTTATGCTCTATAAAAGCTTTTCCCCCCACAGGTACACAAAGCTAGATAAGCCGTAGTCCTTATAAAGATAGCAAGTCACTGTATACAGATCAGATCCGTGCTGAACACTCCTAGGCCTCACAATGACCACTCTTACAACCCTCACAAAGTTCCCTTTTGTGGGGAGGAGTTTCCTTTTTGCTATAGATAGGGCGTTCCAAGTCCACCCCAGCCCATTTCCTCAATCGATACGCAACTCGCTCGACGTACGAATTTTCATCCAGAGTAAGGGTTCCTAGTTTCTTGCAAGCTTTGCAACGCTGGTTGTATACGACTGCGTTGTATCCGTTGTCGGAATACCCTCTAATGACTATAGTCACTTTCCCGCTGCTCCAGGCTGCCTTGGAACAGCTGCCGCCATTGTCGCAAGTGAATCTCCCGATCACAGAAGTTGAATATCTCCGGTCGGATTCTTGGTTGATTTTTCTGTTGAACCATACGGAGGGGATTTGGTCAGAAACGGCGTCGGCAACGTCCTGGTTCAGGTGTGGGAATGTGAATGAGGTTCTCGTCTCGCCGCTGAGGTTGTTGGACTTTTTCTTAGCCATCTCGAGCAGAGCAATGGTACTTTATCTTCTGACTTGCTTGGTTGTTCGGTCTGGTCCGGAGATTGCATTGTGCAGATTGGAGGAAGGCATAGCTGGCGTTTTATCGAAATCTTGTTACATGAAGTTGAAGTAATGCTGCGGGGTAAATCACTGAGGATAGATGCAACGGGCGGTGAGATTGCCAGATTGAAGACGTGCTAATGCAGGAGGCCGACCACCGCGATATTGTTGAGATGCAACGCACCGGCAATCTGAAGGTGTAATGTCTTCCGATGCAAGGGGCTCCCTTCCATTGCGACGTAATCCTCGCCAACAGAGAACTTCTTCATTGTCTTGTTATGAAGTATGATCACCTTAAATTAATCGAAAGTGGCTCCTTCGAGCAAGAAAGGTGGCATTGGTCTTGATGTCAAAACAGGTTAGTTTACGAGGACTTAGGGTTAGACCTGGTATATAGAAACAGATCTCCCACGCGACTGGGTCATCGTAACGTCTGAAAACGGATGGACAATAAATGAAAGAGGCCTAGACTGGCTCCAGCACTTTGATCGGCATACAAAACCGCGTATAACTAGTAGTTATCGCCTCCTCGTCGTCGATGGGCACGAAAGTCACCACTCTGCGGACTTTGAGATATATTGCAAGGAAAACAATATCGTCACACTCTGCATGCCGGCCCATTCGTCTTATCTACTTTAGCCCTTAGACGTTGGGTGTTTTGGGCCACTAAAGACGGCTTATGGTCGACAAATTGAGGATAAGATGCGCCGGGGTAATACCTATATTACGAAGGAGGACTTCTTCCCTGCATTTCATAACGCTTTCACGCAAGCCCTAACGGTAAAAAACATCCAGGGAGGCTTTAGAGGGGCCGGGCTTGTTCCTTTGAGTGCCGAAAGTGTGCTTTCGAAGCTTGATGTTAAGTTACACACTCCAACACCCCCAGGGTCCCTACCAACAACACCCCCCGCGTGGACTTCTCAGACGCCAAATAACCCAACAGAGGCCTCTTCTCAGTCCGAACTCATCAAAAGGAGGATCTCCCGCCATCAAAATAGCTCCCCAACTTCAATTATTGAAGCTGTAGAGCATTTATCAAAGGGAGCGCGGGGATTTATGCACCAGATTGCCTTATTAAGGTCGGAGGTCCAGATCCTCCGGGAGGAAAATAACCTACTTAGCCGACGCAGGAGGGCTGAGAAAACACGTCTCAGACAAGGAGGAAGTCTTACTGTAGCTGAGGCAGAGGACATTCAGTCGCAGAGAGAGGCTACGGCCCAGATTGAGGAGGAAACGCGCCAGAGTAATGGTCGTCGGCCGAGGACAGAAACAGGTCGACGGCGATGTGGCGTCTGCGGAAACACTGGCCACAATGCGCGAACATGTCAGTTTAATGAAGAAATATCTGAGGAATAGGATTCAGAGTAGTTTCAATTGATTTTATGTTTTTAGTGTTGCTCCTTAGACAGATTTATAATGTGATCATGGTTAGGTGGGCAGCTCGCTTATCAAGTACGTTACTCAATTCAAGAGATATAATTAAGCTGTAGTTAATCAGCGCTGAGATTCAGACTAAAGATAAGCAACTGATCACATACCTTGAGCTACTGGGTGTTTCCGCGAAATCGACATCTCCAGGCCTGTCTTCGAGGGCAACCACATCAATTGGAACTTCGTGGCTAAGGCCATTTCCATCTTCTGTGTCAACGATTCTCGTATTTTCCTTGTTCTTTTTGTATTTATTATTTCGATGCTGTTGGAGATTCAACCGCCAGAACATTTGCTGCATTGTTTCCTTGATTTTACAAGTCTGTTAGCTTCAAGCCTTGCTTACAGATAATTTGAAATAGCTCACTCTTTTTGTTGGTATCACCTCTATCACAGGTGATTGGTTCGAACCAATGGATTCGGGGGTGACGAAGGGTCAATTCTCTGTATTGACTGATTCTGCGTGACATGTAAAAGGGAGGTTCCAACTGTAGGTTGGGTGGGCAGTCGGAATCTATTCAGGGGTCGTAGTTGACCCCTGCGCTGCCCAGCCTCGAGGTCGAATTGGACTTCCAATCCGACACTTTTCCATGAATGGCATACTGGAGTTTGTTAGCTCGAGGTGCGGTGTTATCAGGCCAGAATAGTCGCCCATGGTCATGATCATCGAGGTATGATTGTGACATCTCCATGAGAGCGTCTCGTTGTTCTTCATCTCTCCATTCGTGACATGCGTTGCCTTTCCAGCCTTGGCTCGTTACGAAAGTTTTGCGGAAAACCCGAATACTATCAACGAATGCTTGGCATCTCGGCAACTTAGGGTCGCCGTAGTCAAGCTGCTCTCGCAACTGGGTGATTGACAGCGCAGCATCCCATCCAAGCCGAATCAATCAATCAATCAATCAACCAATCAATCCAAGGCCATTTTCCCATTCAATCAGACAAGCCTACAGCGCCGAAAGCTTGGCTGACTTGATCAAGCTAACGTTGCCCGGAAAAAGGAAAATACGGGCTCCAGACTAATCATGGTTTTTGAAATAATTTTCAAAAAATGAAAAAAAGTCCATCCGCGTATGTTACGGACGTCGAGTTGGTGATGCCCTCACGTTAACAGGTGGCCAAGTGGGGCCGGCACTTCCTGGCAGTACTAGCCTGACTGCTAGGTCCTGCCAGGAAGTGCCAGTAAAACGCGTCGACAGCCGACCTAGCCACGCGCAATACTCTCGACGCCTTACCTTACGCCATATGGAAGGGTCGGCGGTTCGTCAACGTTGACGCCATCTCGAGGAAGGGTAACCGAGGCCGTACCTCTTGGATCACAAACGAGGGCATCTTTGTCTACGAGATCCTTGCCAACGGCGTGAGGGGTAATGCGTACTGGGTTTGCCGACGCTGCGACGAGGCAGGGTTTCTAGACTAGCCCTTCAACGCTAACGCCACATCTGCTGCTGCCAGGCATCTCGAGAACGAGCACTCCATCTTCCGAGGTGGCAAGAAGGCTGGCTATACGTCTTCTGATGAGGCTGACGCCCCTGGGCCTCCATCCAAGCGCCACCAATCTCTTCCTATCGCCATACCTAAGCGGACAACTACCCAGATCGAAGAGCTAGCTGTGGGATTCCTCGTTGATACCAGCAACCCTCTCACAACGTTCAGCAACCAGTACTTGCAGCACATACTCAGCCTATTTAATCACGACGTCAACGCCCAGATCCGGTGGTCGAGATCTAGCCAGAGGGAACAACTTCGACGGCTCTACATATCCAAGAAGGAACAGATCAAGACCGAGATACAGAGGGCAATCTCGAAGATCCATATATCGTTTGACTTGTGGACCTCACCCAATCGATACGCTATCGTCGCCATCTACAGCCACTTCATCAACCAGTCGGGTAAACAGACGCAGTACCTCTTAGGTCTCCGCCGCCAGCCTGGTGCTCACTCTGGTGAGAATGTTGCTACCACGATACATACTGTTATGAAGGACTGGGACCTACTCAACAGGATTGGTGTGACAGTCTCTGACAACGCCAGTGCTAACGACACTTGTATCAAGGCTCTCTACCCATCTCTATCACATTTATATACAAAAACTGACGCTCAACAACGTCGAATTCGATGCTATGGCCACATCCTCAACCTCGTTGGCCATGCCATCATTCATGGCGTTGATGAGGAGGCATTTGAGGAAGAGTCTGACCGTCTTATTAACGCTGGAAGAGTGAAAGAGGACCTAGCCTACTGGAGGACTAGGGGCCCAGTCGGCAAGCTCCGGAACATCATCAAGTATATCAGATCATCGCCATAACGTTCTGAGTGCTTCTTAGCAATCAGTAACGAGGCTGCTGATGATGATGATGCCTTTACTCTGTGGGAGGAATCGTCACAAGAGCTGAATCTGATGTTGAGTAACACTACTCGATGGAACTCGACATACAACATGATCAACCGGGCCCTACTCAAACGCACCCAGATCAACGGTTACGTACGCCACACTCTGGGCCTCGAAAATGACCAAGATCACGTCCCAAGTGAGGATATCCTCACTAACGAGGATTGGCAAGTCCTCGTCGAGTTAAATAAGGTTCTCGAGCCCCTCTATAAGCAGACCAAGAGATGTGAGGGCTGGGGCAAGGCTGACGGGCATGGTCGACTCTGGGAGGTTCTGGCAGGCATCGAGTATCTCTTGGATCGACTTGAGGACTGGCGCAAGCTCTACGATACTCTTACTACCGAAGAGATTAACCTCACGGCTACCCAAGTATCCCAAAGTCTTTCATCACAGCTATCTCGACCAGCAAGGGCATCGCATCGATCTGCCAGAACGCCAGTCTCGCAGACCCCATCAATCAACAGTATCCCAACTCATACCCAGTCTGACTATATCGCTACTTCGCAGCAGAGTCAACCGCGCCGCCCCCAGGGTATTAACTTCGACTCTCACGGATACTTACGCCTATCGATTATTAATGGTTGGCAAGTACTTAACAAATATTACCTCAAGCTTGGAGAGTCTCCTCTCTACGCCGCAGCAGTGATCTTACACCCTGGCCGGGGCCTACGATGGCTCAAGAAGCGTTGGAACACCCCAGAGACGCGAGGATGGCTTCATGACGCCCAGAAAGGACTTCGAGACTATTGGGAGCAATGGTATGCCGAGATGACTACCCGTCCTAAAGAATCAACCTATCCAGAGCCTCCTCCAAAGCCTCCGCGAGGCTCTTTTGTATCGACCGCAGTTCCTCCGAGGGTTGAAGACTCTGACTATCGTCAATGGTTAAACAGCAGCCTCCATGACGCTACTATCGACGAGGTTGACGAGCTGGATCGATACTTCACCCTCTCAGTTGCCCAGCCCGTCGACGATCCTATTCAGTGGTGGGTTTCACATCAACAGACCTTCCCAACGCTCAGTAAACTTGCCCTCGACGTCTTTGCTATCCCAGCGATGGCGACCGACTGCGAGAGGGCATTCAGCCTTGCCAAACTTACACTGACGCCACAGAGGCTATCCATGAAACCATCACTGCTTGAGGAGACACAATGCCTCCAGAACTGTGTTCGAGGGGTCAGCGTTGCTGTTGGTGGGCATTACTTCAAGCGGAAGGGTTGACGGAGGGCAGGATGACATCAGAACATCAGATAATGTAAGTTTCTGACGCATAGAGACTTCGTGAGAGCTTCACTGACTTCCTAAATAGGTAATATTAATCAATTCAATCCAAGCCAGTCAAATCAAGCAAGCTTTTTGTGAAAAATCAGTCAATCAGACAAGCCCGTCACCCAAGCTTGGCTTGATTGATTGGTATGCAGCGCTGGTGATTGAAGGAATCGATGTGAGACTCCTGACATTATCCATAGTGAGATTGGGTTTCTTCGATTTTGAACAAGATGATGGGGAAAGCGATGACGAGTGGAAGAGAAGAAGAGTGCAAGAGAAGAGATTTGGAAGAGAATAAGAAAAGGAGGGAATAGCCTGGTTGAATAAGAGTGTTGGACTCTGTCGCCGCGTCGTCAATTCCAGCCGGGGTAACTGCATCAACCTAGCTGACACCATTCAGCTCGGATTTCTCTTACCTTTAACGGCGATGTACCTGGCACAGACTCGGTTGGAAATTCTCCTCGGCAGTTACTCTAACGGCTTCAATACCCTTCTCGGACAGGGACATCTGGAATGTCCGCTTTACCACCTGCTCAGCTCGCCATCGACTTGGATCGAGGGTGAGAAGACGGTGTGTACAGATACCCAATCGCACAGATGGGAGACATTCATCCCCTCGAAGTCGAACGCTCAAGGTACATCAATCAGTCAAGGTTCTCATCTGGATTCTCTCCCAGTTTTTCTGGCAGCGGCATTACTGTGGAGGCAATACTACTGTATTGGATCTGATGATGATGATGGGAAAAGCTGAGCGCTGGCTGGGCTGGATATCTGGGCAAGGTGTAGGTGGTGCAGCTCCGAGATTTGAAGGAGCTGCCTCACGTGACCCACCTGCACCTGCCACAATTACTGTATACTGTAATTGTCAGAGCCATCCCGGACAAGGACTAGTTAGCGGTAGTAAGGAGTCCAAGCAACAAAGGAGCAGCTCCCATATATATACAGCGCAGGGAGTACACGTCGAGGGAGGAGCAGATTTCAGTAATTCATCATTCTACCCCTAACTGCAGTTGGCCTCTGAGAACTTCCACCCTGCGTCAGCACCCCCAACTTGACAGTAATGCATCTTTCACACGTGGACCGCAGCCAACGACAAGGCGGAAGTTGAAGCGAGAGAGAGAGGAAAAGACGATCGACATGACGTTCGTTCAGTCATATTGATGTTTCATCTCTCTCAATGCAACAGGAGTAGCTTTCCCCACCAAAGGTTCGGAGGTCATGTCCGATGATGCTCTGGAATCATAATCAAAGGGGGTTCCCCGCGATAACAGACGAGACGGATGATGGTTTGTCTCTGTAAGCAATTTAATTCGTGAACGAGTAATTTTTCGTGTCTCCAGCTATAGATCTATAATTCACATAGAAATATGGAATGAATGTATGTGAGCCTCGTCCTCTCTGCTCTCCCTACTTCTCTTCGATTCAGTAAGTCGTCCCACCCCCTTTTGGCCCCCCCTTCAACATCATGGTCTCAAAACATCGTCACCAACTACACTCAATTAATTAACTGTCTTCTACTGCCACAATAATACAGTCATTATTATCCCCGGGTAATTCGACCCCTGCGAGTCGACTGGGACTAACGAGACGGTCGCCAGAGTCCTACTGAGCTCTCTTTATGTCCTGGATATTGGCGAACTTGGTGTTTGGGTCTGTTGGGACACTCTTCTTCTTCCTGGGTGCCATGCGCTGAACTTTTGATTCCAGAACTCGAACTTGGTGCTGGGTTGTGGCCAATTGGTAGGCCTGCTCGCTGAAGGCTTTTTTCACCTTTCTGAACAGCAGTCGTTGAGTGTTCCTATCTGGACTGAGCTCTGTGGATAGCTTCAAGTGCCCACAGAGCTCCCCAGCCTTCCTAGGAGTCGACCAGTTAACAACCGACGTCGCAGATGCCCAGTCATCGTCATTCCTGGTATTAGCAGTTACTTGGCCAGTATTTGCGGTCTGGTTTAATGGTGTAACTGGGCTGGGCAGTACCATTGGATTGGTCAGCGGTTTGCTCATGTTGGGTGGCCACAGCCCAGTTGCTTTCCAACCACTTCGTATATTAGACTTCGTCAAACCAGCCAAACGAGCAGCATCGTAGCAAGTTAAGAAGAAGCGCTTTCCAACGATAGTAGAACTATCTACTATTTCGCATTTGCCGAGCTCCTTCCTGTAAGCAGACTTCCCAGGTCCAAACACTGCCATATCCAGGGGCTGGAGGACATGGGAAGTGTGTGGTGGCAAGAATAATAAGTAGAGGTTGTTAATACAGCACTCCCACATAAAGTCAGTCGTCGTATGACTCCTATGTCCATCCAGAACCAACAGTCGAGGTTCCTTTTGCGGGTTAACCCCCCTCTTCATAGGGGTGTCAGTCTGGGGCAAGAAAACCTTCCTCAACCAGTCAAGGGCAGCCTTGTCAGTGGTCCAGCCATTATCTGTTGCTGTGAACTCCCAATTACGGTATGGGCGAAGTTCAAGAGGAAACCACTGCTGCTGCACTGTCTTCCCCTTGTATATGACCAGTGGTTTAATGGCTCTGTTATCAGCAGAGATACACTCGATAATAGAGACCCAGGCACGCGATCCAGGCTCTTTCTTTCGCACTTCTCTGGCCTCTGCCATGCCCAAGACCAAGCCATTAGATCCCTTGCCCTCGAGGATGCCAGTCTCATCCATGTTGTACCTGTTGGCCTGTTTGATGTCGACGATCTCTGGTATGTCGAGTAATCGAAACCAGGGCCTAATTACCTCAGTAGTTGCTCCATTAACACGTCTGGAATCGATGGTGCGACTTCTCTGGACCTTAATTGATGGGTTCCTCTTAAGAAAAGCATCTATCCATCTCTTTCCAATGGGATTGGTATCCCCCTGGGCACGCAGAACTCGCTCAGCAAATTCCTTGACTTGTTCATGTGTTGGTGCAACACCCAGAATGTGCTGAATGCGAACTCACTCAGCCAGCTTAACCTCCTGCCAAGGAGGAAGCCTCTGAAGCTCAGCGAAAGCCCTCGCTCGATTCTGGTGGCCCTTCATACGATTGCGAAGTGTTGATCTTGGTATCCCATAGTCAATCGAGGCCTTGTGGAATGAGAGACCGTTTCCAATGGCATCAAGAGCCTGATTAATCTCATTTTCGGTATACGAGACCATGACATATCGATAAATAAGTGTGCAAAAAGAATTGCATTTGGACGATTTTTGTAATTGTTGTGGTGGTTTGTACATTATGGGTTGGATTATAATGAGGTGGCTGGGAAGGATTTGATGGGGGGGCCAAATGTAAGGGGGGGCCAAAGGGGGGTGGGGCGACTTATTTCTTTAATATATTCCTGGTTTCTTTGTTCTACCATGACATCTCGAGCTGGATATAAATAGGATTGTATCCGGTTTCTGTTTACAAATCCTCGCTCTTTTCTTTCTCGTTGTCTTGCTGTAGCGTGGAAAGATCGATTGCAAGTTGATCTATTTCCTGGCCGTTATCTGCTCGTAGTTGACTAGGTAGCTTTATCGTAACTTGCCCTTCGCCGTCCTCCCCGAAGCAGCTCCCGAGGTATACTGCTTCTACTGATAGCTCATGTCTTAAACTTCTTAGTACACATAGCCAACTATCCAACCCGCCTCCAATAAGATTTACAGACTCTAGGCCGACTACTCGGAGTGTTTCCTGATGTTTCTTGAGGAGCCCGGTGAGCTCGCCCGCGGTACAGTCTAGATACTCTAGCCGTAAGGCTTGGAGTCCGGGGATAAAGAGAAGTTGCGACAGTTCTGGAAACTGATGCCTTTCGTCGCGGGTCATGAAACATAAGCTGAGGTCGGAAAGTGCTTTAAAGAGCCCTAAGAACCGAAGGAGATTTGCCACCCAGCCGCTCGATTCTCCACGTATAGGATCGGTAGCTGGTAGGCTGTTTATAGTCTCAGGGTCAAACCCAGCATGGCTAGGCGTTGGGTTCACGATGAGACGTAAATTCGAGACTGTTTCCAGTCGACTTTTGACGGCCATTTCTAATGGGCTTGGAAGGAGCAACATTGTGGGAGTGACACAGGTGCAGCCTGCCATCATATCCCCGAACTCGATGAACATCTGCTCTATGGGGAGACGGCTCTGTACCACTGCGTATAATAGTGTCCGTATGGATACTGCTGCGTGTATCATGCTGTTGGGAAGCAAGTCGGAGACGAATCGGCTTGGGAGCGTCCCTGCCCGGCGACCAAGGCGGAAAGCGCCCCAAGGCCGGGTGGTATCGTCTATGCCGACCCTTGTGCAGTTTTCCAGGCCGGAGAGTGCTTCTGCCAAAAGGCTCATGTGAAGCTTCTGGCTGAAGAACTTTCCTTGCTTGTTCCATTCATCTCCGTAGCCTCGGCAAATGGATTCCCACCTGTCGTCCCCTTCGAGTACCGGTTCATCGTCAAGACGCCTGACGATGTCGTACTCGTCATTAATCCCGAGATCAAATAGTTCCTCCCGGCTCATATAGTGCTCGGGCTGGATAAGGTGGTCGATGCAAAGCTCGACGCCCTGTACAGCTCTACCCAGCACGGCATCATGCGAAATAGCAACAAGGTTCTCCAGGCTCTCCTTCTCGAGCATGACGTGCCGCGTGCGGAAGAAGCGTGCTTGGAAGCACAGGGACGTCTTCTCCGCCATTTGTCTGCAGCTCAGCCGCAGGGCCAGCACGTCGTCGGGGCCGAGTATACTCGATACTTCATGAACCACCTCGGTCGGCAAGGCCAAAAGGTTCACTTGCGCCATGGCTACTTGACAGAGGAACTACCGCAATTTGCGGTTTTACCAGCGGCAGTGTTCTCTATTTAAAAAGCCCCAAGGCATTGTATCAAGCGCGGCGGTGGGTCGTGGCGCAACCCCGCACTAGCGGAACTGGGATCACGTGATATAACACGGGAATACCTGGGCACGTCTTGAGGCCATTGGTCCGATGGTGAATAAGTTTGCGCTGTCTTAGAGTAAAATGCTCGAACTTGTTACCTATGTGATGCCCTCTTGTAGAGTCATGAGTAATTCGCAGTACGCCCGGACATTGCTAGGCAAACCGAGGAGGTAGTGAGCTGCTGTCCTTGACGTCTCTGTTGTCGGTGTCTCTCTTCCCTAGAACCCCACTTGCTGGAACTTCTGAACACATACCTCGAAAGGTACCCACTGTTAGTAATTGTTAAGGTTATAGAGGGCTACGGCCCACTGCACTATCATCTCTCAACATCAGCCCATACGAGCTGAATTCCACGACCATAGCGGTCTCCCTAGATATAGGGCCATCGATCACGGTTCACGGGGACGCCGGTATATCTCGGCGGTCGGGACGAGTCCGGAAGCCGACTGCAAAGGTCAGAGTGGTTGAGCAGGTCAACTACCAGGACAATTCTGAGCTCAAAGACGAGATCAATAAGCTTTCGAATCTGGTCCAGGACCTCCTGCGTCGGGACGCCGAGAGGGAATAGTTTTTAAAAGACTATTTGACGAAGATCGAATTCTTAGAGAGAGAGCTTCAGGAGGAGAAACAGCGTTCAAACCGGCATTAACGTGGTCTAGTAAGGTCTATATACGCTATTAGCACAGGGCCTAGCGAGACTGACCTGAGTTCCCAGGGGCATCCCTCGTACATAACCCAGAACTAGCCGCCCCTAGTCCGTTCATACGCGGCGGCGGCGAGCCAGCCACTATCCAAAAGACAGGATAAACCAACGCCAGCCAAACAAGCCGCAAAACAAGCTATAAACCGGACGGCCTTAAAGGATCTATACGTCTTTACGCGTTTATCGCCTGAAAGCCCGCTTCGGAACGAGAAAGCCTACGATATATATATCTTCGTTTAGGAAAGGCTAAGTCCCTAAGCCCGAGAAGCCCTCAAGGGGATCGACTATGTTAAGATAGGATTAGTACTCCTACCTTTATTAATAGATAGTACAAAAGTCCTACTAGAAAACAGAGAATAGATCGCTACCCTTCTCCAAGCGCAAGCGATCGAGCAACGCGATACCTAGATCCGAGCCTATATCGCAAACATCCCTTATACCAGGCATTATCTAGTAACCAATACTAAGCTGGAAATCACGACCGAGGAGCTCCTTAAAGAGATCCAGGTCTCGACGAAACTCAAGCCTAAAAAAGCACACTTCTCTAGGAAGGACGAAGTCGAAAGGCTAGGCACAGTAATAGCCTAGTTCAAGGCGGAAGCCATAAGGCAACTACCAAGACGCCTCCGTTTAATAGGTGCTAGCGTTTTTATAAACCTATAGTTCCCGAAGGAGAAGAGGTCTCCTTAATATCTCCGCTGCGGCGGTTTTCATAGCGAACGAACGTGCACCAGAAGGAAGAGATGCCTCAAGTACAGCTCTCCTTCCTACACAACTGATCAACACCGGGCACCCTGCGGCGGCACTAAGGGTCACGATGGCTGCGACTGCCCCTTTAAATACCCGTCGTATAACGGGCCTTACGCCGCCTTCGATGCGACTTGCCCTATCCAACCTAAAGTGGTGAAGGGGGTAATCCAGAGGAGGGATAAGGCTCAGCTACGGGCCATCCGAGCTGAGGGAGAAAGATTATGGAGAAATACGACCTAGCAGTCGCATCGACATTCCCGTAAAGAAGAATAAGCGATAGACTGTACCCCGGCGAATAAGATACAAAAAAAGAATATAACCCTTTAAAACCCTATAAATTATATAAGCGAATGTAGGTAGGCGGGTATCCGCCCACGAAATAGCACTAAACCTAGCTTACGTAGCCTAGATCGATATATTCTTAATATAATAGCCGTTTATCCGTTCGGAGGAGAGGAGGCTCACAAGACACTACCCAGGTTTTAAGACTTTCACCCTAGTGGATAACTGGACCGAAGACCGTCCTAGGGTACTTACCTACCTCCGTAGAGGAACTGGGGTACGAGGCGTATAAACACGGCCTCTACCCGATCTATCTATAGACCTACTCTTCTTATAACTCCTCTCGGGAACGAAGGAGGTCCTTATAGTTATTAATATATATAACGCCCCTCGCGGCTCTCTGCAATCTGGCCAGGCTCTCAGGAACATCCTAGCGGCCTGGTAACCCAAACCTAAGGATCGAGTATTGATTGCGGGGGATTTTAACTTATACCATTGGACGTAGTAGCCCGAGGCCACGAGTTCCCCGGACGCTGAAAACCTAGTAGAATAGGCAGAAGCCGCCAGCCTTGTCCTAATGTCACCTATAGGTGAACCCACGCACAAAGGCGGCAACACCCTAGATTTATGCTGGGCGTCCAGCAACCTCCATGGGGCCTCCACCAGCATAGAAACGTCACTACACACGACATCAGACCACGAATCTCTACTTACCCAGGTCCCCTTGGCCCTAATCGATTCACCCAGCCAGACTCCGGGAAGGTTTCGGCTCGACACGATGGACGAGGAGCTTTTCCTCGGCATCATTAAACGCAACTTACAACCAATACGCCGCACTACAAGCAACATCCAAGACCCACAGTGTCAAGTTGGGATGTTGACGCAGGGTGGAAGCTCTCAGAGGCCAACTGCAGTTAGGGGTAGAATGATGAATTACTGAAGTCTGCTCCTCCCTCGACGTGTACTCCCTGCGCTGTATATATATCTGAGCTGTTCCTTTGTTGCTTGGACTCCTTACTACCTCTTACTAGCCCCTATCCGGGAGGGCTCTGACACACAGTCTTTAGATCTCCTAGCACAACAGCTTACGGACTATCTTATCAAAGCACTCACGGCTTCCACAAAGCGCACGCTCGGGAAAGGTACAGGGAGACCATACTAGAGCGAAAGCTACACACGTAAACACCGAGCCTATACGAATAAGCAAGCGATATTAGTAAGACTCCGCGCAGCCGGAGTGAACTGCCAATGGGAAGAAGAGGAGGTCGAAGCTCTAAAACAGGACTTCCTCTACGAGTTTAAACGCTCCAAGGATGCCTTTTGGAAAGATAAGATCTCCTCAGCCTCCTTAAGCAAAGATATATTTGAAATAGTCGGTTAGTACAAAGCCACAGGATCCTTTCAGACCCCGCTACTCCGAGATGTAGATAACCAAGACACGCTTGTCTCACAACCAAAAGAGAAGCGCGACTTATTTACCCGCGTCCTCCTTAGAAACGCTGCAATCTCCGAGGACATACCAACAGAAAGCCTAGTCTTACAAAGGCAAGCTATGCTTCCTTTCCCGCAGGTTACGAAGGACGAGGTACGGTCTTCGGTTCTCACCGCGGGAAACACGACTCCTGGGACCGACGGAATCACTACGACTGCTTTAAAAATAGCATGGCCAGTTATCGAGGATATTATCCTCTTACTTTATAGCGGGTATATACGCGAGGGTTAGTATCCTACTTGTTTTAAAGAAGCAACTCTCGTGATCCTAGCAAAACCGGGAAAAAGAGATAAGACACTCCCGCGCTCCTATAGGCTAATTACGCTCTTAGCCGTCATTGGAAAAGGCTTGGAGAGACTTATCGCTAGACGACTTACCTGGATCGTAGTTAAATATCGTGTTCTGCACGATCAATAGTTTGGAGCACTCCCTCTTCGCTCTTATAGCGACCTCATCGCAGCGGCTATCCACGACATCGAGTACGCCTAGTAAAGAGGCCTGATTACCTCTATGCTTATGCTCGATATAAAAGGGGCTTTCGACGCCGTGCTCCCAGGACGACTAGTCCGACGCCTCTACGAACAAGGATAGCCGGAGAACCTCGTACGCTAGGTCTCAAGTTTTGTTACCGGAAGGAGAGCAAGAATAAGGCTTGATAGGGAGGTAGGAGACGTCTTCGGTCTCGAATACGGACTATTATAAGGCTCACCCGTGTCTCCTATTCTATTCATGCTCTATATTGAACCTCTTTTCAAGCTAAGCATAGCTCGCCTAGGAAGGAAGGGATCTCGTTTCGGCTACGCCGATAAGGTCGCTATCTAAGCAAGCTTAACATCACTAAAGAATAACTATAATATCCTAACTAAAGAATAGAAAAAAACCTTAGGATAGGGCGCGACGGAAGGAATCACTTTTAACCTTAATAAGTCCGAACTAATCCACTTCACCAAGAAACAAAAAGATAAAAACCCATCAATCACAATAGGTTTGCCGGATAGGAAGTATTATACAGTTCAGGCTATCAAAGAAGGCTCTTCTCTACGCTAGCTCGGCGTTCACTTCGACCGTAAACTTATATTCAAGAGTCACGTAAAAAACCTCTCTATAAAAGCATACTAAGTAGTTAATAGACTATAGGGACTAGGGAACACTGTCTAGGGCGCGCCTACGTACTTACTTCGTCGAGCGATCACCTCTTATATATTACCCACTTAGTACTATGCATCTGAAGTATAGTGGCCCGGTAAGAGCCGGATAAAGAATGGACGTACTATCTCAAACGGGGTTAGTAGTCTACTATATTAACTAGACGCGACGCAAACCAAAGCTATTAGAGCGATGGTCCCCGTATATAGAACTACGCCTATACCGATCCTATAGCGCGAGGCGGCTCTACCCCCAGCAGAGGTGATACTGGACGCGAAGCTCCACACAGCGTCCACTAGAATCCATCGTCTGGACGAGCGATACCCTCTCCGAACGAGACTCAGGGACAAATCAGGACTAGACTCACGGCTATGACGAATAGTAAGCCTCGTAAGCAAAAATACCGAATACATCGATCCGTTAGAACTCCCCCCTTGGGAGCAACTAGCGGACTGGCAGACAGCCCTCGCCAGGGTCGGCTACGAACCTAATAAGACCAAAGAAGAACAGGCCCTCTCCTTTGCAGGCAGGATGGCAACTTTCTCCAAGCGGGACATTATTGTCTATACTAACGGGTCCTAGATGTCGGACGGCAGTAGTACCTCCGCCGGAGCAGGCTAGGTAGGGTACCAAGCTATACGGCAGATCTTCCGCGGATCCGAACTACTCGGCTCCTAAACTAAGGTATATAATGCGGAGGCATATGCTGCGTATTACGGCCTGATGGAAGCCACCCGGGCTCCTACGGCTCGTATGGTAGATAACGTCCATATCTGCCTCGATAACCTCGTAGTTACGGCTAGACTATACTCCCAGAGCACAGGAAGCAGCCAGGCTAGATTTAGGGCCTTCAATAGGCTCTCTTCCTCCTAGACTCGGAGACAAAGAGAGAGCTGGACAACCCCCGGCAGGGTTTATGTTTGGTGGTGCCCTGGGCATACGGGAGTACCAGGAAATGAAGAAGCGGATGCTCTAGCCAAGGAAGCCTGCAAACTAATCTCAAAATCACAACCACAGCCCTTATTAGCGCACCTAGAAAGGCAAGCTAAAGTAGCTACCTTCCAAGCCTTTGCCAGAAAATGGCTGTCCCAATGCCCTCGGCAATATGCCGACCTCGAGATAATTCTTTACCCTAAGCCGCCCGAACTTTGCCTCCCTCGGCACTTACTAGGAAGGCTATACGCAGTAAGATCCTATTATAGAGACTTTGTAGTATACCACGAGAGATTCGCTCATTAAGATGCGTTGCTCAATTGCAGCTATGGGAAACCTAAGATACCAGTCCATTTCTACTTCTGTAAGCGTGGACGCAAGGCTACACCGCGCTACCTCCGCTAACGTATAGCTAAAATAAGTATTAATTTCTTACTAGGTTCTGCTAAGGGAGCCTCTCTTTTATGCGAATGGATAGAGGAGACCAATTTCTTTTCCGAAATTTGCCCGAGTCATTGAATAGGAACGTTAGGTGAAGACGGTAGCCTGTAACATAGTTTAGATTAGTATAGACCATGTCGACATAGCGCCCGGCACGTCCTTTTGTTACCAGACGTTAAATACATCATCATCATCATTAACTTTGAGGTACGGACCCCGTATGTTTAGAATACGGAATCCGTACGGTAAACATACGGATAAAGGATATGTTCAGAATCAAGACTTGTATATAGGATGGACTCGAGCCGGACTCTAGGACAGACTTTCCATAGCTCTTCAGCAATTAACTTCGTATCAGGATTAACATCCGCTTTCAGCTACTACCTTGACAAGACTACGACTGATCACCGAAGCCTTACCTACCCTTACGATTGACAGACATAGTTTCCTTGAAACTATTCCACGACTACGATTACTGTTACCAGTTCCGCAGCCTCAACTTCTGCAAACTACCCCTACGACTAGCTGGCCGTAACACTATTATACTAAGAGTAGATGCTAAGAAAAATTAGGCGAGAGGGAAGTTAAAACTGGATGGCTATGGCAATAAAATATCAGATGAAAGTAGCAAAAGCCAAATTCTCAGAACGTCCTTTAGCCAGGTCCAACATAAACATTAGCTGTTATAAATTTCTTAATTCCCAAACATTTTAAGACTCCAATTTTCCTCCTGCACCATCTCACTCGAGGATCACCCGAGTCCACTCCGGCTGTACTCTCATCCAAGCTGACTTGAATATTTTACCCATGCCAACCCTTTCCGCGAATTCTCTTCTGGTGTCCCATTTAATGGCCATGACATTGAACAATGGCAGATCCACAACATCAACCCGCTCCTCGTTTCCCCAATACTGGGAGTCCGACATAACGATAAGGACATGTTCTTCAGTCAATATGGTTTCGTTTTGGCTCGTGCATGTGAGAATCATGTGTCCCACGATCTTGTCTTCTTCGTCAAGTATTTCGACCTCATTGATCTCGAACTGTTTGCAAGCAAATAGCTTTCCTCCTTCACGGTCCCAGAGGGTTTCTATGCGCGTAGCCTTTTCCTGTGGCTTTCGACTGAGTTTGAACTTAGCCTGTTGTGTTTCGCAGACAAGGTTACGATCGCTGAGGGGAATATCAGGCGGGATGTAGGGAAGTTGTCGAAACCCGGAGGGCCTGTAGGACCTTTGATATTGCCTAGCTCTTTCAATGAATTGCTTCTCGATCTTGATAGCGTCCGAGCCGCAGGCAAAGCCCAGTCCATTGCCATTGATAGGTACGAGTCTCGCTCCAGTTTCGGTTGTTGAGTGGACAGGACGAGAATGTGGGTAATCATTCGAGTCCCTCTCCACAACGCACTTGTACCACAATATAAGTGGTCTGAAACGCTCTTCAGATTGTTCGCCATGTGCCATGTGCTTTTTCAGAGACAGATCCTCGTTGGCAGCCACTCGGAAAGGTTCCTCGAAACGAATTCCTGGACGAGCATGGTGTTTCTCATCCTCAATTTCGCCAGCCCTGTTATCCTTGCTCACTTGCCAGCCTGCCCAAGACCAGCTTGGCGCATCTTTGTTGTTTCTTTTCACAAGAAGCACTCCCTTAGCCGCGGGGGGTTGCCACAGGAGTGAAATGTCGAGAAATTCCTCTGGAAGACCATACAAAATATGAGCCTGGCGTTCCTCCGTTTGAATAGTGGAAGATTCATTGGATCGTCTCATAGCCTCCAGCACCGTCAAAAGGCCCATGACGCCGCTGAGAAAGTCCTTGGGTTTTGTCATATCCCGGCTGGTGTATTGCTCTAAAAGCTTCGCATATTCGCTGAAGAAGGGCGATCTCATTAAGAGTGGCGTGGTGTTCCAGTTGTGTTTGACTAAGGATTTGCCGGCTGTTGACGACATGGATAGGTAGGGAAATTGAGGAGGCCCATTCCCGGCGTGTATGGCGGGCATATCTTCTCTCAAAATCCCATGCCTGCAGTGGAAGCTAACATAGCTTTCGCCAAACACAAGCATTCGCTTCGATAGCATTTTCTCTTGTAAAGTCCAACCGCGGGTATCCCACTTGCCGTACGATTTGTCGTATTGGACCGCAAGTAACACATTGACGTTTTCCACAACCTCTTTGGCGATCTGTAGTTGTCCTGTGACTCGAGGTGACGATATCCCAGTCAGTCCGCTGGCGGCATCTTTGCCGGCTGCTGCTACTATAACCACCTGCGCGGAACTGTAGATGCTGTCCATTTGCCGTATCTGTGATTGACGCGCCTCTAAGTCGTCCCTGCCCCGTGTGTTTTCTGGCTCTTGAATGATGCAAAGACTGTCCACCCATAAGTAGCGAATTTTCAGCCGTTTGGCCACCTCAATGGCATCGGAAACAGTTCTGGCCACCTCTCTATCATGGCCAATAAGGGATTTGCTGAGGTCCATCAGATTTTCAACGCGCAGTTGAAGGGCTTGCTTTCCGGCCTCCCCCCAGACATAAGACAGAGCAGCGTACTTGATCCCTTTGCTACCGAACGGTGGTTGGACAACCTTGTTCTGAAGAACGTCAATAAGCCTGAAATGCTCTCCTGAAGGTGGTCTTAAATTCTTTGACCAAGCTGGCTCTCCACAATTTTTGCCGTGTTGCTCAGTACAATCACGCAGCCACACTTTGCAATCACTCTCGACTCGAACTTTTTCCTCCATTAGGTTTCCATATCGGAGACCTAATGCTGCGCTCTGATATTTAGATGCAACACGGAGGTTGAAAAAGCATAGAAGAGATAGCTGGGCCTGTGGTGAATTGCCATATCCATAAAGCCCGACCTCAATTAGTCCTGCGTTTGGGCTGCCAACTCCGTGTACCGTAACGCACACAGCAGCAGGTAGCTTGAAATCTTTTGATGCAATGACAGAGGCAGCTAGACTCCCGGCGGCGCCCAAGGCTGAGAAGACACCTTTCAGTCCATCGTTCTTCTCTGAGGCAGCCCCCTGAGTAGCTGCCCCGGCAGCTCCAGCGGTGACAATGACGCCGCTTTGCATAGCCGCTTCATGACCCTTGTTGCGAACCTCTATCATTTCCGCGTTTCCTTCTCCCGACCGACTTTGCTCAAGTTCGATTTTGTTCCTTCCTCTCCCAAGTGGATGAGGAATACTCATGACGTTATCCTCGAACCAGCTAATTCCACGCGCCCAAGCTTCGAAGCTCTTATCCTGCTGCTTCTTGGGCATATGTTCTCGAATTGCCGGATGGTTGAAGGGATCGTTTCGTACTATTGCATCGAAAAGCAACATACAGAACGTACATTTACGTTTCTTCGAGTGCTTTATGATATTGAACAAAGAGATGACGTAGACGTTTGGATCGGCCGCCACTGATTCGTTCACGGGTGAAAGGAGCGTGTTAAACTGGCGGAAGTCTATCAAGCCACACTCGTTGCAAAGTCCTTCGGACTTATGCGTCGGCGTAGGGTTTCCGGTTGGCGATGTTGCAGGTGCTGCGGCTGCCGTCGGTAATGATGAGGATGGCCACGAGGGGAAAACCCTCCTAAAAGTATCATCCATCCTTGTTACAGTGAGAAAATTGTGGACAATGATCAACGTTGATAATTAAAGAGAAAATTTCGATCTTGGGGTTTGGAGAAATGAAGACGATTGTACTGCTGGCGGACTTGGAAATATATCAGTGGATATGCAGGCAACTCATTTAAATCTTATGGGGAGGCTCAAATCAGGCTGAGCGGTAGTGTGATGTTACACAGGACGGAAGCCACGTAATGAGTTGCACAAGGCAGAGTCGGCCAAATTAATTAACGTATTGGCCAGCACACCCCTCTGGACGCTTTTATTTCTTTTCCTTGGCAGTCGGGCCATTTAAATCAGGCTGACAGGTTTGCTTCTGGCACTAACTGGATATGCCACTAGTTTTGCAAACAATTACTATATTCTCAAGCCAAACTCTTGAATGTTTCAAATGCCTGATGTACGTTTGGTGTGGCTTGCAGGGGGGGGAGAATTCCAGCTGTGGAATGCTTCAGCCTCCAGCTCCCTGCAGGTCGTCAAAAGTGGATGATACGTAGAAAACGTAAAATGTAATGTAGCAGTTGATAGGCTTGAGGGCCAGGCAGCAATGGTGGTGGTGGTGGCGGTGGTGTGTGTCGCTTAGCTATCTGGGTGTGCTGATGTCACTGACGGGGCTGACCGGTTTGGTGCGTATGGACTTTGTTCTATAGCCACCCTCGTCCTCTATTAAGGATAGTGGTGTCGTCCATAATCGTGATGATATTGATTGACTATGTTGTTATTGTATCCTTCAAATGTAGCTAGGAAAATCCCTCATCTGAGGCACCTGGATTCCTGCGTTCTCATTGGCTGGTCTCAGCCAGATTATTATGGGCCCAGATTGCTCGTTCTGGTCCGAGCATATCCAGTCAATTCCACTTCCGCACTTCAACAAGTGGCTTTCCTCAACCTTACAAAGTTAAGCGCCTATGCGAAGGTCTTTAGGCGCTAGATTATCTAGAAGAGTAAGATCCTACTATACTAATGACATGCCGAGAGCATCAGCCGAGCATAGCCGAGAGCATCCCATGTGAAGGGCTCGGCCCGTAACTGTAAGGGGCTGGCCCCTAGGCTTGTTCAACGTAGAGGTGCCGTTGATTGACTATTCTAAGCTGAGAGGAAAAGGAGGAATTACAGGGATGCGCGTATCCCATCGAGGGCGGATGGACCCCATTTTCGCCAAGCCTCGAAGTACCCATTAGTTACCCATTATTATTACCCCGCATTGAAAGGGGTACTTGACGATACGTCACTTATCCCTATGCTCTTTTGCCTATTATCACCACGATTACTACCATTTTGATTGATGCTGAGATGTCTTCTGGTGATTCTGATACCTCTATTGCATCTAATGCATCTGTTACTTCTGTACGCAGCTGTATAGTAGTTGAGGTCCAGCCAGAAGATCTTTAGGGCGACGGCTCTCCACGCCATATACCCTTCGGGAGGTCGGCCGCAAGGGCGGCTGCGCCCTTGCCGCCACGGCGTTAAATATAACACACACACACACACTGCTGCCTGTAATGCAGACTGTACGCCCGAGCGCTGTGACGCAGCTACAGTCCGACCTCACGAACCTCCGGCTACCGGGCATGGCCTTCCGGGCTGCTTCCGGCCTTTTGACGTGCCGACCCGGGCATAAGAGATACGGCAGCTGCTTGCAGCCCAGCTTATCCAGCAGTTTGGCCCATCAGCAGACGGGCGAAGACTTTCACGACCTAGGCGGGCTACAGACAAAAGGAATACCTCGATTCCATGGGAACAGCATAGAAAGGGTTCAAGGAAGGTTAATTCGCCTTGCTCTTATTGTGGCAGTAGGAAGCAGCAGCCTCTAGGCGAGGTATCTGGGAATACCCGCACTAGAAGGAAAACACAGAAGGGCTGCTTAGATTATAATGTACCATTATGTATTGATAGAGATTGCTGGTACCTCTGGCATGCCCAAAATCTATAGAGATTAGAGGTACTAGAGATCTATTGGTCAACTCAAAGGGTCCCCAGGCCCTTGTTGGCTCTACCCCGCCCTTGGCGAAAATGGGGTCCATCCGCACTCGATGGGATAGCTATGGCATAACAGGCCCGGACTCAGCGGTGTACTGCGGCAGAATGGTGGCTCCGGTAGAGCCGGAGATCTTAACCGGGCTCCAGCCCGTGACATCACCCCCCTGTTCCCCTCCGCCGGGGCACTCGCGGCGCCAATGCTGAGGAGTAGAGTAGAGTAGAGTAGAGTAGCCGCCGCCCACGGCCCCGGCCCCCTAACATACTGGCAACTACAAACACCTACTAGGTGATGGTTGAAATCCTCACCAAATGGAAAAGTGGGGGGTGACATGCATGGGGTAGGTGTTGGTTGAATGTTAGGGGGGTAGGTGTTGATTGAAAGAACTCAGCCGATTCTAGAGTAAAACGTTAGCTTTAAGTTGTAAAATATAACATAAGTATAGGATATGAAGTATGCTAATTTTAGAAATAAAACTACATTAGATTAATTTATGAGTAATTTTATTGCTGAAGCTATAGTTTTGATGTGGTGTTCGCCGCTCCACCCCCCCGCATCTATATGATTGGACCACATCTCTACTTCCCCCCATGGACGGCTGGCCCGTGCGCTGAAGAGGATTCCACATTTGGGAAGTTGATGGGTCGCACCCACACGTTACTATGGTTACCCCATGTCGTAGAAAACATTCATAGAACGAGAAGTATAAGTTAGTATAACTATCGACGATAGGAATAGATATTTCAATCTAAAGATAATCGTTACGACGCCATCAATAATGGAACCATTTATGGTTGCTGAGTCGTTTTGTCTGCTTATTTGCACATCTTGTCAGTTTGCAGTAGTTGCTAACGAGTCGGCCGCACATTTGAGAACGCGTCATTCGTCTATTCAACCTAAAGAGAGATGTGCTATTGTCTGCAAGATCGAGCAAGAGACGACAGTGTATAAAACACAGTCTGATGTTGCAGGGCTAGAGCATCCCAGCCCACATATAGCGGCAATCCCATACATCATAGCGCCACGTAACGACGGCATACGATGCGATATGTGCTCGTATGTATGTATCCGGCTGCAGACTATGCAGCAGCACTGTCGAGAGAAACATGAGTGGGTGAATGAGTGGAAGAAGGGGGGCGACGTGAGTAAGAAAAGCCAGTAGCCCCGACGGCTGCCATGGATAATAGGCGTCCAATGCCAACGCTTCTTCCTAAGCCGAGCCGGTAGCCAGTGGTTTGAGGTGGCCCGGGGATAGACGGCCGATGAGTCTCTGTAAGCCGCTCCGAACAGACGCCCGGCGCAGCAGGCAATGGACCGCGTTCGAGATCTCCGGGAAGTCCAAGTAGAACGTGTGAAGACTAGCCACGACGAGCTGATCCGCGTCGCCAACGAAAAGCTGGAGCCCAGCCCATGGCTAGCCCGCGTAGGGTGGGCGGTGCACTTACAAGGGCTCAGTGCCAGCGCACTATTCAACACCACAGGACCCATTAATGAAGATGAGGTCGTGCTCCAGGCGATGTGGGCGACGGTCGACAGCGTGCTAGACCAGGCTCGAGCGACGTCTGCGCCCAACGCCGTCGGGCTGGCCGTGCTGTTCGAGGCGCAGCGTATAGAAGCGTACGTCAAACCAAGGAGGCCGTTTGATAACCGCATGGAGGATGATACGTGGGCGAGATATAAGGGCGTGTGGCGATGTCTCTTAGGTGTCTGGTTCCGCACACAGGAAATGGACGACGATAAGCGGCCACCGTATAAACTGACGTCGTCACAGGGAGAAGCGTGGGACTCGTTCGAGCAGATGGCGGAAGCAGCCAGCACGGGGACGGGGCACTAAACTCCGGAGAAGCTGGAACGCGCAGCGCTTAACATGCTCATCAGCATGCTGGACCACCAGCTGAAGGGCGGAGACTACAGCAGTGCTCTTCTTAGCGCACTCGCGGTGATGGGTATTACCGAGGATGGCGGCTGGGTTCAGATTATAGACTATATAACGAAGTACTTAGCCGTTATCAAGGTAGTGCGTATGCTAATGATCTATTAGGCATATACCGAGCGGCATGACGAGGTTGCCGAGCTAGAAAGATCTCTAGGGAAGGATAAAGCAGAGAACGCGGCGCAGAGTTTGTTCTAGTATATGTGGGCGAAGATGCGGCGGTTCATAACGCACACGACGGGCGAGAAGGACGTAGAGCCGACGCCAATAGACTAGATTCTCGAGACGCGGACGTATAGTATATATATCTAATATAACATAGCAGCGGCGGGTGTCATGGACTGGGTGGGCGATCGCGTATCATATAGACGGGTACGGTTCACGATAGGGCAGCTGTTAGACGCACTGCACGAGCTAGTCCGAGAGACGCGGGAGCTATTCGTAGAGCTAACGGCGACGGAGGATTTAGGTTTGCTAGACGGTCCCGAAAGTAACGTGCGGTCCTAGCTACTAGCTATCCTAACATACTGGCAACTACAAACACCTACTAGGTGATGGTTGAAATCCTCACCAAATGGAAAAGTGGGGGGTGACATGCATGGGGTAGGTGTTGGTTGAATGTTAGGGGGGTAGGTGTTGATTGAAAGAACTCAGCCGATTCTAGAGTAAAACGTTAGCTTTAAGTTGTAAAATATAACATAAGTATAGGATATGAAGTATGCTAATTTTAGAAATAAAACTACATTAGATTAATTTATAAGTAATTTTATTGCTGAAGCTGTAGTTTTGATGTGGTGTTCGCCGCTCCACCCCCCCGCATCTATATGATTGGACCACATCTCTACTTCCCCCCATGGACGGCTGGCCCGTGCGCTGAAGAGGATTCCACATTTGGGAAGTTGATGGGTCGCACCCACACGTTACTATGGTTACCCCATGTCGTAGAAAACATTCATAGAACAAGAAGTATAAGTTAGTATAACTATCGACGATAGGAATAGATATTTCAATCTAAAGATAATCGTTACGGCGCCATCAATAATGGAACCATTTATGGTTGCTGAGTCGTTTTGTCTGCTTATTTGCACATCTTGTCAGTTTGCAGTAGTTGCTAACGAGTCGGCCGCACATTTGAGAACGCGTCATTCGTCTATTCAACCTAAAGAGAGATATGCTATTGTCTGCAAGATCGAGCAAGAGACGACAGTGTATAAAACACAGTCTGATATTGCAGGGCTAGAGCATCCCAGCCCACATAT